CTCTCTCTCTCTCTCTCTCTCTCTCTCTCTCTCTCTCTCTCTCTCTCTCTCTCTCTCCATACACACACACACAAACATATATATATATATACATATACACATATATGTCCTCAGGTTAGAGCTTTTAGAGTTTAGAGTTTTATGATTTAAGTCAGCTGTGATGGACTTGCGACCCGTCCAGGGTGTACCCCGCCCCTCGCACAGTGATTGCTGGACATGGGCGACCCCCGTGACCCAAAATGGAATAAGCGGGTAAAGATAATGGATGGATGGACTATCAGAGAGAGACGAATAAGTATCAAGGATGAAATAATAGTGTTTCAATAAACAAAGAGCAGAGAGTTCCCCTCTGATGCCACTTCCTGTTTTACTTTAACCATGCCATATTCAAAAGAAAATATGCCAGTTATGTGTCAAAATGGGTAAAATTATGAGTATGTCAGGTTTATTAAATATTAAGATGTTTTCTTCTACTTTTTTGGATTATTAGGATATGCATGTCATGCCGTCATCACTACAAAAAATCTTATTTATGTAAGAAAATAAAGATAACCTGGCCATTTACAAAGTTTTGTTGGAAAAAAGTCTATTTTGGAAATGTTCTATCCAGTAAACAGTATAGGCTACAAGACGACCATTTCAACCAGTTTAATAGATTAACAGCTTAACAATTTGTCTTTTTGAATAAACAAATCATCATTTTTATTTCAGTGCAAATGAATACCATTACAGAAATAAATTTTCTCTGACTCAGAAGAGAGGCTGATTAAGTGGTGAGCCCTCCACAGATGCAGCAAGTTTTGGTGGGACCTTTCTGTCAGCGGCGGTGGAGATACTGACCTCACTGTTGGTCATCACATCCAGCTACCTCCCACGCTACATGACTCAGTGAGGCTGGGGGTGTTCTGTCTCTGGCACCAGACTCCTGTCTCAGCTTCAGTCTATGATAATAATCACTATTATCATGTTATTGGGCCTAACACATGTCAGCAACAGGTGTATGCTTTGAAAATGTTATTAATATATATTTAAAAACCTGCTAAGGTGACACCATGAAACTTCCTATTTTCTCATTTTCTGTTAGTTATTGATCTCACGGGGGATATAGTGTGTCATTGTAGGAAACCCAGCCTGTTCACAGCAGCAGCTTACAGCGAAGTCCCAGGAGAACTTTCTGTGTCCCAAATCCTGACTATAAAGTGGCTCTGGAGACAATGGCGCTAGAGTCACAGAACAAAATTATTATCATTATGAAACTCATTTGCAACATATTAGGAAGAATAAATTACTGACTTGGTGACATGAATTGTTTGGTAAATATAAACTGGTTAAAACATGCTTAGAGTACAGAAAACGGTACAATTTGACCTGTAAAAGTTGTAAATGTCTTGTTTTCACTGTAAACTGGAAGTTTTGTTGCTTAATGGGCTATAAGGAAGGGAAGTCTCTTTATACATGTGGGCGGCCGTGGTGCAGTGGTAGTGGCAGCCGACCTCTGATCGGAAGGTTGGAGGTTCGAATCCCGACTTCCCACACCATGTGCCGTTGTGTCCCTGGGCAAGACACTTAACCCCGAGTTGCTCCCGGTGGGACTGGATGGCGCCTTGCATGGCAGCCTACCGCCACCGGTGTATGAATGTGCGTGTGAATGGGTGGATGGCTGGTACTGTAAAGCGCCTTGGGGCCCCTCATAGGGGGCTGGAAGGCGCTATAGAAGTAAGCTCCATTTACCATTTACCATTTACATCTTTCGAATCAAGAATTCTTATGGATTTGGTTAGCTGGTCCCTCAACGCAATCTATACATTTTTTTCCACCAGACGACGGGGGTGCTGGAGAGCCCTCATGCCCTGAACAGACCCACGCAGATGGGTATGCCATTGATTCCTGGAATGAGTGGAAGAAGGTGTGCCTATCTGTTCTGTCCGTGAAGGATGTAGAAGATGTGTACATTATTTGATTTATGATGACAGGGTTTCTGTTTTTTGGAACCGGTGGATAAATTGGATATTGACAAATTAGGAAAACGTCAGCAGCAGTTTCGGCCATGGTAAAGCTGCTAGCCTTATGTGAAGGACTAATCCGTGCTTTGAGCGCTCAGACTCATGCTTACCGAGCTCAACCGCAAGCTGGATGTGATTTCTGAGAATCGTAGGCCACTTGTGGCTCCTGGACCTCACCTGCATGAAGGATTCCATCTTGGAGAATGCTAAATCGAACATGGAGCGGGTGGAATGTCCACAAATCTGGCTGTTTGGATTCACCATTGAGTGTACCAGCAGAACTGAAGGCAGACAGAAGACAGAGTCTGACGGCCCAAACAAATGTTGTTTATCTGAATTTGGCCTCCCCGCTTGGCCTTGGACAGACCAACTGATCTCAAATTAATCCTGGAGGATACATAAACTAGAAGCTTCTGCCTGACACCCCCCTCCCCTCCCGAGGACATCTGTGGTCTTATCAGAACCATGATGCTGATAGACACTGTACCATAAATGGACTGTACTTATATAGCGCCTTTCTATCTTATTTCAAGATACTCAAAGCGCTTTATCCTACAATCTGTGCCTCATTTACCCATTCATACAGCACTCTACTAGATCTCTACAAAGCTAATTGAACAAATCATTCTAAAGAGACTAATCAGAGCTTTATCACATTCATACACCGATGGGACACACATCAGAGACTATGAGGGGTTCAGTGTCTTGCCCAGGGACACTTCAACATGTGACTGCTGGTGGATTCGAACCCCCAACTCTCGCATTGGAGGACGACTGCTCTAACCACTCAGCCACAGCCGCCCATCTTATCAGAACTTTGGAACTTTCTGGAGTGTTTATGGACAGCTCACTGGCTTTGCATAAATGTATTATGATGCCATTGTATGTTGCAGCTTTATGTTGCCAAGTCTATTTTTTGCATCTTTTACACTGTTTCCCGGCTAGGACACGATGTGAGACATGATTTTTATTGGCTTCATCCTCATGTTCTTTTTTCTCATCTGCCTGTATGTTGTATGTAACAGGTCTTCCTTGCACATGAGTCTTCGAGGCTCAATGGGAACTAACCTGTATAAATAAAGGTCTAGTAACAATAAAAATGTTTGAGATTGTCATCATTGTATGTTCCCATACAATGGCAAAATTAGTTCTCTGCATTTAACCCATCATACCATCACATCATCAACCCATCACAGACTTTCTAATGTTAAACATAATCATCATAAATGATCAAACTAGTCCATTTGCTTACATGATTGTGGTGTTTCGTAGACAATGACTTTAATTAAAGCAATTTGTTGGAGACTTCAGTAATGAGACAGTGATTTGTAACAACTTGATGCTGGCAACTAACAGAATCCAGAATGTCTGTGGGATGATCCACACATTTTGATTTTCATGCTTCTCCCTCCTCGAATATATCAAGTTACTGGTGCTTTTTCTTAAGATTTTTTTTCAGTTTGTGTAAGGATGACTGTTCTCCAGTCAGTGGTTACAATTGTTCAAATGGATTCTGACATCACACAAGCCTAAATAATAAACAATAGAATCAACTTAGGTTTCAACTTTCAAACTGCACTTGAATCATTACAAACTAGTTCTACTTTTAAGTTCTCTTGTTGAAATTTGTTATAATTTATGCCATCCATCCTATCTTCAATTTTAACTTGTTGTTCAGTCTCGGCTGATGGAGTCAAATCATGATGCTAATGCCACCGTGCTTCATTGTGAGGATGTTCTTCTAAAAATAAATTGTCGTTGTCCTAAACAGCCAAAAAGTTCAGGTTGTTATTTGATCACACCAGCTAGTTTTCCTAATGTCTGGTGTGGTCCACCTGCTCTCAGCAGGTCTGTTGTTGCACTGTGTTCTTTACATTTTCTAATAATACATTTATTGATGTTTCATAAGATGTTGATTTGAATTCCAGGGTGTTCGGTAACAGAATAAAAATAAAATAGGGGGGTTGGAAGTTGCTGGGTAATGTGCAACCTGCTGAGGAGATTAAACGAGGGCTGATATTTTCATTGTTGTGAATAATTATTGTTATTTGTCCTTCTGATCATATAAAGTAATGAAATTCCCATGATCAAGTTTTAAACAGCAACCTAAGAGAAACACTTAGCTTTTACTGTCACATTAAGGTATTTTTATCATCATATCTCTGGCCATCTGGATGAAACTTATTTTTGCTTCTAACTAATTTAGTCCCCACCAACCCTGAGAAAAATACTGCTTTTTTCAGCAACTAAATGCCCCAACAAATACCAGAGGGAATGGAAAAGTTAGCTGTTAATTTTGTGGGTTTGTTACTGCAAACATTTCACCCACTGGTGATATAAATTATTTATCTGTGCAGCGTTGTGAGCACACAGTTCCACTGTCTTTTCAATTATTTACTATGACTAAGTGCAAACTACAGTCAACTTTTCTGCTTTGTAAAGAGGCAGTGGATTAAGTATAATTTGCAACAAAAAATAATTTTTTTCATCGCTTTTCAAGGTCAAACATGAGCAGGTTTCATCAAAGGTATGAAATATTGGTGAGAAAGCTTTGCTGTCTAAGGAACGTAATGATATTAGCCTGGAGGTGCCACGATCTTGGTACTTTACCAGTTATTACTCATCTCATCTGATTAAAGGCAAAGTAAAGTGTTCATTAGTTTTCTCAATATGTTTTAAAATGTCAGACACTTGCTGTGGAGGAGTGGTGTGGCTCTACATCATAAGAAGGCAACTTCTGCTGCTGATTGGCCCTGTGGGGGACATCAGTCAAACAAAAGCAGCAGGTTTACACTTGTTTTATTGTTTTATGTTCAGGAACTTGGAAAATAAAGAGAAAATAAACAAAGCTGAAAAAATATTTAATTAAGATCAGCTGGATGCACAACCGGGACAAATGAGAGAAAGAATGTTTTAAAATGTTGCCATGAACACGTCTCCTTGTTTTCCATTCATATTCATCATCCCACCTGTTTCAACTCATTCAACTCCCTGAGTGATCCTCAGCTCTCTGCTCTTCATCTTGCTCCGTTTCTTACCTGGCAGGAACACACCGAGCACTTATCGCTGTCCAGCACCCAGATCTGCCCGCTGTGCTTGACCTTGTTGTCATGGATACAGTCTCCGGTGCAGTTATGCCCATGGGGGCACCGGCAGTCGTAGCCTCCCTCCAGGTTGAAGCACACTGTGTCGTTGGCACAGGTGTTCCTCCCTGTCTTGCATTCATTAATATCTGCAGGGAGCACAAGAAAAATGACGTTGGACATATGCTCAGCGCAGGTGATGCTGTCTCTATGCACAAGCTGTGAAAAATGTCCATTAGAAAAGACATTAATGCTGCTTTGCTGCAGAATGCAATGCAACAAAAACCCTGAAGCAACACACACACACACACGTTTTTAAATGTTGAGGGATACAGACTGCGTGCAACAGTATTGTAACCCAGAAACCCACTTTTGGCCCAATTCAAATTTTCCGAGGTGCAGACGGGTTATTATTTTGTTGTTTGTTTGAGAGTGCCTTTAATGTGCTTGTTTCCCTTTCGTCTCCTTCAGCTCAAGCTGACAACTCAGACGGGGTCAAACAGCGCAGCAGTGGCAGCACTATTGTTACAGGCTTTGCCTCCATGTTAGTGTTGATTGAGGGTCTCTGTTCTGACAGCGCCAACACGTCTTCCGACACGCTGAATTAGAGACAATGTTCCAAAAAATGAACAGGCTGCTGGAAAAGCAAAGCAACATTTTGGAAAAAGAAAGAACAGAATAGAAATTAAGCAATGCACAGTGACATACCTCTCAAATTAAATCCTGTATTAAAATAAACTGATAGCAGCGGACTATATATTGGATTTAACAACGTTCTTCTGTTTTACATAAATAATTAGAATCTTGACACTGTTTTGAAATGGAGACGTAAAAATACTCTTTACATTAATTAAGTTTAAAGAGAAACTTTGTAAACCAAAGACCAACATGTTCTTTTTTTCCTATGTTCACACAGTTTACGTCTAAATTAAAGTAAAAACTCAGATCTTTTGAAGATAAGTTATGTAGTAACAATCTTACCTGTTGTAGATGGTTCTTCAAATTGGAAAAAAAAAAGATTTCTAAAAGACAATTGAACATCTAGTCTGAATGAGTCCAAAATCAAAGTGGATTGTTGTTGTCTCAGAACAACAACCTTATACAGTGTAGTGGTTCATGGAAACACTATTTTATTAACTTTAATATTGGGGCCAGTTTTGCATTATGTTGTCATCCTTGTAAAAACCTTTGTGCCCGAAGATAAACCGGGTCACTGCAGCCTCTGTTGCTCCTACTTAACAAATTACTAACAAACAAATAATTTCACATGCATGATAATGTGTAATGTAGAACTGACTGATAAAATAGTGCTCAGATGAAATGTGTTAAATGTCTTTGGACTGGAGTTGTTGTAAGATGGTGACAATCCACTTCAGGTTTGGCCTCCCACAGATTAGCAGTTAGCTCGTCAGTCTCGTCAAAATTAAACCATTTTTCCACTCTGTTCACATAGCTATCTACAAAAAGTAAGATACAAAATGATTGTAACCTTTCCATGGAACCGCTCTTCAGCATTTTGAAGTGACGCTACAATCAGTAAAGTTGAACATGAGAGATACAGTAGTCCCTCATTTATTGCAGGAGGATCCGTACCCTGAAGACCCGCAATAAGTGAAAAACTGTGAAGTAGGAATAGTCGTACAAGTAGTAAGTAGTAGTTTATTTTAGTATTTTTATATACCTGTAAATGTTAAGGCATTTTAAACACTTCCCACACTCTTGCAATATTCTAAACAATGTTTCTAAACTCCAAACGCTCTAAAAGAGCACAGAACGTCATGATTTCAGCTCCAGCCACCTGCAAGTGCTCTTGGCCACGCCCCCTTCTCGCTCTGCACTGAGAACAGCTGATCAGCTGCAGCAGGAAGTTTATCCTGCAGTATGGATTGCACAAATGTGCAGCAGGTGCTAAATAATTTAAAAATGGTAAATGGACTGTACTTATATAGCGCCTTTCTATCTTATTTCAAGACACTCAAAGCTCTTTACACTACACTCTGTGCCTCATTTACCCATTCATACAGCACTCTACTAGATCTCTACAAAGCTAATTGAACGAATCATTCTAAAGAGACTAATCAGTGCTTTAGATCACATTCATACACTGATGGGACACACATCAGAGGCAATGAGGGGTTCAGTGTCTTGCCCAGGGACACTTCGACATGTGACTGCTGGTGGACTCGAACCCCCAACTCTCGCATTGGAGGACGACTGCTCTAACCACTCAGCCACAGCCGTCCCAAAATAAACAATTAATTTAAAATAAAAATCCCATGACTATCGTGTGGCTCATCCATCAATCAGCCAGATGTGTGTCATGTCTAATCTTATTTTGAAAAATCGCGATAGAGCGAGTCCGTGAGAAACGAACCGCAAAGTAGCGAGGGACTACTGTACTGGGATTACCATCAAAGTTGTGTTTTTATGTCAACAAAGTGAAGATGGTTAACTCACCCACACATGATTCCCCATTGGCCGAAAACAGGCCGTTGTCATGGTAACCGTCACGACACTCGCAGTGGTACCAGCCGGGCAGGTTGACACAAGTGGATTTACCATCACACTCGACAAAGCCGTCAGCACACTCATCGATGTCTGAAGAAGAAGAGCGACACTCAGATATCTATACAAGATGCACATCGGCTTTTAAAATATGCTTTTTACAGTGGCTGAGACACTGAGCTCCGTTGTTGCCTCACGGGCATTTTAACGTTGACTGATTCATAATTAAAACCCAACATGTGTAGTCTTTGAGAGACCAAAGGCTTCACTGATCAAACAGCCAGAGAATGACATCTGTACCAATAAAAGATAGCAGGGAATAAATAAATGTAATCTAAGAAGCTTGTTCCTACAAGGGAGAGCTCGCAGTTTGAAACGCGGTGCCACAAAGCTCTTCCACATGTACAGACATGCAGGTAAACAAATTGTTTCCAAGGTGAGTGCACTGTTTTGCGATTCGCTTTGCTCGGACGAGACTTGCTGCGACGCTGTGAGAAGACACTCAGCAAATGGCTCTGGGTGGGTGTCAATAAATGGAGCTGATGTTTATTTTCACCGAGCACCACTTAGAAAAAGACTGGCCCCTGCCTCCTCTTACAGCTCTCGTCTTTAATGCAAGACTGAGATTAAGTGCTCTGACTCTCTCCTCCCTGTATTTGTCTCCCTGTCATTCTCCGTTTGACTCTTTATTCTTTTTCTTTGTTTTGCTTCTTTTCTTCCCTACTCTTTCATTCTGGCTTTCATTACAGCGGGCCGCCCAGCAGACATCAACCAAGAAAAATCCAATTCACTCGTTAACAATGAGCATAATGCACACAGAGAGACAGATTGGTCTGATATTCCAGCTAACATTTAATTAAACCAAGGCCCCACACCCACATGAAAGAGGAAATAAAGCCCATTATTATGCAGCAGGGCTAAATATGTTTAGGTTTGGACATTCACTGTGATTAAATGCATCTGCACAGCCACTGATGGCTTTCTTTATGATTAAGCATGATGCATGATGCTCCGCTCTCATTATGAAAATGGCTGTGTGTGGTGTATGACCTTCTTCACATCTGTATGGCATCAGTATCCCCCACCGAGCGACAGGCAGACAGGCTCATGTGTCCCCCCCACCACCACCACCCAGGCTGTAATAGGATTAAGATCTATTGGCTAATGAGCCCTGAGCCTTTAAATAGAATTTCTGCAGCAGATTAACCGTTGATCAAATGTCCCACAGATTAGGGTTTTATCTTTCGGGAAAAAAGGGACTCACATTTGTCTGAATTTGCCAGTAATTTGCTGAAAAAAGTAAAAGGCTGAGCACTCTCTGAAGGAATATGCCACCCGCCACCTATTATGCCAGTTTTAAATGGAAGTCATTTCGTAATGAAAAGGGGTGGAGTTATATCCATTTAGGTTAAACTTTAAAAATATTACGTGCAATCTCATAACGTGAGATCTTGCGAGATGTGATAGAGCTCAGAGTATGTGGTAGGGATGACTCTCAGCAACTACTGCAGCAGAAATTATAGCTCAATATTTGTAAATATGAAAAGCATTATAACACTTTTTGTGTTTGCTCATTTAGATTAGTTGTGATCTGTGGTGGCCAGTTTGCATTAGGACAACTCTAAAAGTTCATCACTTGTAGATTTAGATCTAGTGGTTACTTTTTTGGGAGATTCATAAACATCTGTCCCGTTGATAATTCAGTATTTTGTTCACAGACAGACATGGATGACACCAACAAGTAATGGTAAAATTCTTAACTAATAGTCTGTAAGTGCTCAGAATATTTAATAGGCATCTATTTCAGCTACTACAACCCCAAGTTATTGCCTAAAATCTGTAAAATGAATAGAGATGTGGCAGCCATCTTGAACCAGTGTGGCTCCAAAAGTTAATCAGTTGCAGATTTAAAATTTACTTTCAGTTTCATTAGAATCTGCCCATTAGTTCCAGAGATATTTTGCTAACAGACATACAAAATTGACCCTGATCATACAAAGTTGACCCCAAGAGTTTATAACAAAGTAAAAATTTAAATACAACTATTTTTGTGTGCCATAGTGAACTGGGTTGACTCCAAATGTTGATCTATTGTAGAGAGACAATGATGGATCACATTTAGGCAGTTTCATTTAGCTCTTTCTATGGTCCATGAGATATTTTGTTAACAGTTCAGCTGCACAGACACAAGCAAAAACATAATTGCTCTTTCACCTATGATGGCGTATGATAAAACCCCACACATCTTTTGCCCCCATATTGGACAGGTTCAGGGAGCTTCCATTGGTGGCTCAATGTTACAACTCTAATCAGTAATTTGTTGAAAGCAGCGCAGCTTGTTTTCTTCAATTAGGGTCAACTTAAAGACAGACGGTTGGAAATCACAAATCTGCATCAACTAATAAAAATAGCTAATCTTTGAAAATTATTCTAAATTCTCCACACTCCTGAAAAGAGATCTGCAAAGCTCATATTTGCCTGTTTGTTTCAGCATGATAGTGAGCTTCCGGAGTGAGTCTAGGATCTGACCTTTAGGGGTGCTTAGCCCCGAGTGATGACAATGGCTCCCCATGGTGTAGTTTTGAGAAGTGCAGAAGCTTACAGCATCTAGTATTCCCACGTGGTCTCCCATCCATGTATTAGGCCTGACCCTGCTTAGCTTCCAAGAGCAGGCGTGTTCAGAGTGGCATGGCCATGAACGAGGCACTCAGTCACAAATAGGACTTTAAAAGGCATGGAGGCTGCAGAAAGAAAAGCTTTGCAGAGAGTGATGAAGACTGCGCAGAAGTCTGTTGGAGTCAGCCTCCCCACCATCACAGACATCTACACCTCCAGATGCAGGAAGAGGGTCACCTGCATCATGAAGGACCTCACTCACCCAGCACACACACTTTTTATTTTACTTGTGCAAAAAAAAAAAAAAAAATCATAGGGATTACTGGCCCTTTTAAGAGTGTCATCATTTATTCCATATTCGTTTAAAATTTATTAAACATTTTGTTGAATCTAAACTTTGAGAACCGAGCTTCCTTACACAATCCTAATGATAGTTTCTTACATTTTCAGGGGTGCTGAGTTAAAATGTAGAGGTGCTTGAAGCACCCGCAAAAAGAGGCTAAAATCACCACTGGTGAGGTTTTAAAAAAGGAGAAAATGCATGAATTGGATTGCCAGTACATGTGTGGGGAAAAAAAGACTAAAACATTACTGTGACATTGTTCAAATCAGCCTACACATGATGTCCGTATGAAACAGCTCCAAGTACAGCCGAGCAGTCGGGCACTATTTATATCACACAGTGATGAAGTAAATCTAAAATTATTCTAATGGGTTATTTTCAGACAGTTTCATTTGGGTATTAAACGTCTGTAACAACAGAATTTTGTCGTTTTCCCTTTTATCCCAAGCAAACTTGTCAGATGCGATTATGACGCAAAGCTTTTCGACCTGCTGTCAAATTAACTTTTTACGGTGCTGCAACCTTTTAAGGTTTTGTTGAAACTTGACTCGCACTTCTGCAGATTGACAGTCTGATGCCCAGCTGAAGTGCAACATGCCCGCTACAACATCCCCCTCTCTTTTATCATCTTTCCTAAATGAGAAAGGAAGATCACCGTAATTAAATCATCAACACTGACAGTCAGACAAGTGCGCTGCTGAGAGAACCTGTCCCCGCTGAATCACCTGTTAAATAATTCTTCAGCCTTACTGAGATAAAAAAGAACTAAAACAAACGTCTGTTTTTGTTTCCTGGAGAGGTCAGAGCTATAGCAGTTACCCTTGTGATGGAAAGACAGAAAATGACCCAAAAAAAAAAAAAAAAACTGTGTAGAGAGATGAGAATGAGGGTGACATGGAATTAAAGCTTAAAAGAATTACAGACGTAGCATTCCTTGAAGGAACACACATTGCCCACCCACTTTCATGTCAGTTTTAAGTTAAGATGGCCACCACATCCATCCTTCACAGCCACATTGCACGAGATGTGTTAATGATATAATCACATGGATTTTACCTGAATGTTTGTAATCTTCAATAAGTTATAGCCATTTTGTGTTAGAAAAAGTAGGTTACTGTATTTTTCAGATTATTAGGCGCATTAAGTGAAACAAATTCATTTTGACAGATTTTTAAAACCGTTTCGAGGTCAGTAAGCACAACCAGAATTAATACATAAGGCTCACTGTTGATTTTTGAGAAAATGAAACGATTATAAGTGCACATTATAGTCCCAAAATACAGTAGCTGTGGCAGCCACATGTATTTGCACTGACATCAAATGTCAATCAGTTGTAGATCTACATCACACGATCTCTTTCTGAAAGTGTCATTAAAATCTGTTCAATGTTTTATAAATTGATTTTGCTAACAGAGAGACAGCGTTAACTTTAATGGTTAATGGCAAAGTTTTAAGCAATAGTCTTGTACAATGAATAACTCCAAGAGTATGTATTTAGGATAAATCTCAGCTACTACCATGAGAATTTTTAAGTCAAATTTCTTAAAAATTGACTTAGTTGTAGTCATTTTTATTTTCACTAATGTTAGACAACTGTGGGGGCCATTGTAAATTGGGATGACTCCAAAATTAAATCAGTTGTAGACTTGATCAAATGATTACAGTATGAGTTTTATTCAAACTGGTCCAATGGGTCATGAGATGTTTTGCTAAAAGACAAACAGGGTTGCCATTCATACTTAAAACAAGAGTTATAGGCAAACATCTTGCATAGTGTGTTGCAGAGGACTATGTGATGGGGTTGACTTTGTGGGACATACGATTGTTTTCCTAAAGGTTCAGTTAAATCCATCCATTTGTTCATGATCCATTTAGCTAACAAACAGACAAAGTTGACTCCAACACTTAATGACAATTTTTTTTTTATAAACCTCACTTTTCTTATAAACACACTCAGTCATCGCCTAAAGAGCCTGTGACATGCATTTTATACAAATACAAATATTAGAAGAAAACATCTTCATCTTTAAGAAATTTGGCATTATACACATCATTTTAAGATACAAATATAATAAAAACCCATTTTGTCCCATAACAGGCTTCTGTTTTTCATGGCCAAAGTGCAACTGGATTA